GATGGTGGGTGAGAGAGACATGGGTAAACTACTGGGCATGTACAACTTCCATCTACCTACACACTCCCACTCCCACTCGCACCCCCCTTCCCCTCCCTCCTCATACCCAGCCATCCCGTCATCCCGTCATCCACAACCCCCTCCCCCTCTCCCCGCACCACACCTCACGCCTTTACTTTTTCCCCACCTTCGCGCACCGCAGTCTGGGCACAGGTAGCATACATAGCATACCGAGTACCGAGTCACCGGTGCCAGCCCCAATTGCCCTGCCAGTGCTCGTACCGAGACCGTGTGCTCGGGATGGCTTGGGTGCGTGCTGTTGCCTACGAGGAGGGAAGATGGAGCATGGTGGCATGGAGGATGGAGGCGCGTGGTCCCGGTTGGCGGGTATTGCATAGGGCCAGGCTGGGTTGTGGTTGGTGGATGTGTTGCTCATTTGCTCATTGCTTGTTTGTGTTGCTTACCATGTAGGTAGATGGGTAGCTTGAATGTAGAGAGTTGCAATCCATTCAAGTCGTCCATCTCACCTCCTCCTCCTCCTCCTCCTCTTCTTCTACATCGCTCTTCTTTCGCTTGCCACGCTTTCCACCCTTTTCTTGTTCAACGCCATCCCGCCCAAGCCCGTGCAAGTCGTCATATGCCGTCCTCGCTTCCACATCCAACATCCCGCCCTCGATCCAACTGCTCCAATACCGTCTCCCTACCCACTTGACCAAATACTCCCGTCCGCCCTTGTCCGCCATTCTATGCGCCAGAATCCTTTTATACGGCCATTCCCAACTCGCATCTTCCTCCTCGCCCCCCTCTCCGTTCTTCTTCCTACTCCAAACTCCCCACCCCTCCTCCACCTCCCCATTCTCCTTGACATACTCGAGCGCCCATGCCCTCAAAAAGGCCGCAATCCACGGCTCAGCCCCCATCTCATAGTCGTCCGGGTCGTGTTCGCGAGGAGGAAAGACCCTAGGATCAGGCGCTGGTGACGAGATGGCTGGACCAAAGTGCTCACGCGCAGCATCAGGATCAATGGCGAGGAGAAACGGATCCAGGAGCTCCGCGAGGTCGACGTCAGAGTGGAATTGCCATTCGTACTTCCGCAGCGTGTGCTTGATGTGCTGGAGTAGCTTGTCCTTTGCAGAGTTGGGCAGCATGTAGACATCATGTTCGAGAGAGAGTTGCCCGAGTGCCGACTTGATACTGCCCAGCATCTCAGAGGCCCGTACTGTGACCACTAGGGGCGGCTGCGCAGCATGGTCCTTTTGCCAGGCCGTGCATAGCGCGCAGGATTCTGGGTCCAGAGGGAGGCATGACGCGCACCAAGGAAGCGGACAGGACATCGAGCTCGAGAGGTGTGTCTCGATACAGCTGCGACAGAAGATGTGCGAGCAGGCCATTTTTACCGGCACGATCCTTTCCTGGTCGGGCGGCGTGCTGAAGTAGTCTTCAAGACAAACGGGGCATGTCCTATTTTCCGCTGCGAGTTGGCGAGTTGAGCGGAGGACGGTCATGGAGTGGGGACATGGCGTCTTTGTGCGTTTGGGAGTGGGCGAGAGTGGTATTGGAATAGAGTCGGGCTCTGCTGTTTTTTTGCGCTTTCGTGGGCTGGTCCAGGTACCGGTGAAGTCGGTGCTGATGTTGTCGAAGTAGGGGAACGGCATGGTGACTGAAACTATGAACAAGGTAGTACTAGTCAAGATGCAAAGTCCTGATCAATGGAGAAGATGGAGTAATGGACGGTGGAAGAAGTGGTTGTGATGGTACGCTCAAATAAATATGCGGACGCTGGTTCCCAATCAAGCAAGAGCAATGCACTCACATCACCGCAACTGCCGCTTCATCGTGAGGATCGCATGACACAGACTCCTACTCCTCCTCACCCACTACGGCCTGTTTACTATCCAAAGTCTTCTCCTCAATCCACCACGCAAACACAGCACTGCCAGCAACCAGCGCAATACTAACACACAACGCCGCTCTCGTGGCCTTGACGTAGCACTCCCTCACCACCATCTTGAGTGCAGGATCCAAACCTCTAAAGTACGACAGCCCCGCCCTCACGCGCTCTGCAATCTCCGCCGCATCTTTGTCACCGTTCAGGGCGGTCATGAGAGAGCGGCGCAGTGTCTGGTTGAAGGCTGTAGCGCACATTGAAATGCCAAAGACGGAGCCCAGGGAACGGAATAAGTAGCTGCATGCTGTTGCTACGGCCTGGTCGGTATACGATGCATTTGCCACTGTCATCCCGATTAGCTCTTGCAAGAGAATTGAACCGGAATACGCACAAAGCCCAATGAGTGTGGTTGTTACACCGATTCCGTTGGAAAACGCGCAGATGGCTGATCCTACTACCATGACTGGAATGCTCTCGCGAATAATGCCGGTAAACAGGATGGTAAGGGCGAGGCCGAATGTCAGGTTCGAGTAGGCCAGTACAGTGATCCAGTAGTACTTTGCCGTGCGCTTCATGTAGAAGCCGCCAAAGAGGGATCCGCCCACCCCAAAGACGATGCTTGGAACGAGCAAGAGGCCAGCCTGGGACGCGCGGTAATCGCCAATGACCTGCCAGTACAGCGGTATGAAGAAGAGGGCCGAAAGCCAACCTCCAAAAGCGAAGAAGTTGCAGAGATAGCAGGCGAACAGCGTCTTGTTGAGAATGATGTGCCCAGGAGCAAAGGGATTGCTGGCCACATACTTCTCCACCAGAACAAACACCACGAACAATGGTGTCATACACAGTCCGGCAACAGTAACCGGATCCCTCCAGGACACATTCGACCCGCGATCCAAGCCCACCAACACGCCAAAAACCGCCACTATCAGCACTCCCGCACCCAAAAAGTCCACCTTGAGCACCTTTTCTTTCCACCCACTCTGATCCCGCGCCGGTAGCCGCAACACCAAAGCAACCGCCACAAACGCAAGCACACAGACCGGCCCTTGTGCCATAAACGCCCATCGCCACCCCACACTATCCGCCAGCAACCCTCCCAGCGGCGCCCCCATGGCCGCCCCCGCCGCATACACCACATTGATATAGCCCTGCCAGGTACCCCGATCCCTCAACCCCACAATATCACTCATCAACACATTCGTACAAACCGCCATGCCGCCCCCTCCCACCCCAGCAAACGCCCGCGCCGCAACCAACTCGCCCATGTTCCGCGCCAGTCCACACAACGTCGCCCCAATGCCAAAGACCAGGTAGGCAAACAGCAGACATTGCTTGCGGCCGAAGATGTCGCTGAGCTTGCCATAGACAGGCTGGAAGGCCGACAGGGTGAGAAAGTACGAGGTTGCGATCCAGGAGGTCGAGTTTAGAGCGTGTAGTTCGGTGCCGATTGTGCCGTAGGTGGATACGATGAGGGTTTGGTCTGCGGCTGAGAGGAAGACCTGTGGGTGTTAGCAAGTTGCTTGTGGATATATATGTAGTGAGATAGGATAAACCCAGTCGACAGTGAACAATCAAAATTTGATAAAAGAAAAACCCCCCTACCCCAATCCCAATTGCAGGAAATATCAACCCCATTCGCTTCATCATTTCCACATCCCCCCGCTGTTTCAAAACTCCAGAGTCGCGCCTGCTTTGGCGCTCGGTGTCTGCGCCATTATGCCTATACTCCACCTCCCCACCACCACCACCACCTCCTCCTCCTCTCCTTGCACCGCCAGCAGACAGCGAGCCCGTCGCACTAGGGGCAGGATGTGTGATTTTTTGGGGGAGGAGGGGTGTTGTTTCTGTGGGGTGGGCATGTTGTGGTTGTGGTTGTGGTTGTAGTTGCGATTGTGAATCCAGTGCCCGAATCCCCACGCCTACACCTTCTTTCCCCCGCCCACCCTCTCCCGCACCCTCTCCCACTCCCACTCTCCCATCCATCACCATGGCTAGAAACTCCTCAGTTCCCAATCCCCAACCTCAGTCCTCAATCTTGAATTCCAAAAACCCCTCCTCCTCCTCCTCCTCCTCCTCCTCCTCCTCAGTTTCCCACACCAAAAAAAACCCCAACCCCACTTCACTCCTATCCAGCCTACCTCCAAGCCCTCGACGAACGCAAGAAAGCGACCGTCTTAGTGAACCTCACTCTTTATTCCTTTTCCCGCGCTGTTGAGTCTTGGACGGTATTCTCAACAGCACTGCGGCGAGGGGGTGTGATTGCGATGATTGATGGGGGAATGGTTGATGGGGGTGGATGTTGTGGGTTACTTGTTGTGTTTGGGTGAGCTAGAAAGAAAGGAAAGAGAGTAAGTGCCACAACAAACGGAGGGAAAATCCCACATCATCTCGCGTCTCACACAGTAATACTACGGGTACATGCGTACAACTTTAGTACTCCATGCATGCAGTACCCCCACTATCCCGCCGTATTCACCCCGACATACCCAAACCCAACCCTAACCCTATTAGGAAGGTGCTTAAGCATCTCCAGCTTAATAATCGTCTACCCGGAAGCAGACTGCGAGTTTCAAACGCCTGGTCCCAGCGGGTTCGGGTCGCTGATTCTCCGGTCGGGTCGGGTAGCGTGTGTGTACAAAACTGTGTGGTGAGTAGGATAGGCAAGTTGTGAGATTTCATATTCTAGAGTAGCATGGTGTATGATGTGGGTAGTGGGGCAAAGGCAAAGGGAAAGAGATGCGTTTTTAGATACTATTCACAGATACGATAGTGTCGGGTATTCTAGGCTGCGGCGGTGGGGGCGACGGGTGCGTATTTGCGGAGCTGTGGTATGGGGTGTTAGTGTGTGTATTGGATGATGGATGGGATATGGATAGGATGGGATAGGATGAAAAAAAAAGAACACTCACATCCAAACTAAAATACTTGCTCGTCTTCTCACTCCCCTGATCCTGCATAACCCCAACCAACGTCTCGCTCTCCTGAAAGAACCCAGCCTTCAAACTAATCACAATAAACTGCATCCCGGGACTCGCATGCTCGCGCACATAATTCGCCACCCGCGCAACATTGACATTATCGAGCGCGGCATCGACCTCGTCGAGCACAAAGAACGGACTGGGTTGGTAGCTGTGAATGGCAAACAGCAGGGCAAGCGCCGCAATCGTCTTCTCGCCGCCAGACAGGTGTTCCATGTCGCGGAAGCGCTTGAGCGGCGGCATGGCGTGGTATTTGAGGCCTTCGAGGTATGGCTCCGTGCTGTCTTCCATATCGAGGTAGGCTTGGCCGCCGAGGGGGAATTGCGGGGATTTGGTCAGGTCTTTGTAGGTGCCGCCAATGTTCTCCGAAATGTGGTTGTACGCTTTCATGAAGAGGTCATACCGTTTTTGCTTTACTTCTTCAAATGCCTTCTTGGCCGCCCCGGCGCGCTTGCGGGTTTCGGCGAAAGCTTCGTCGACGGCTTTGAGGCGCGCTTCGGTGGCAATGAGGCGCTCGGCTGCGCGCATGTTGGGCGTTGCTTTGGCAATGTCGGTTTCTAGCCGGGTGATGTGGTCGGTCAGTTTGGCTTCTGCGGCCTTGAGGCGGGTGCCGAGTTGGGATTGGAGGCTGTCGGAAGGGTCGTCTTCGCTTTCGAGAATGTCGAGGATTTCGGTGCGGAGGTCTTCCTCTAGCTCTTCAAAGTCGACTTCGATGCCGTAGTCGTCTACCTGGGCGGTCTGAATCTGCGTGGAATCTGGGTCTTCGTCCACGTCCATGGCATCCGCATCCGGCTGCGGCATATCTGTGATGGGGAGTGATGTGAGAGAATTCGAGTCTTCCGTCAGAGGTATGGCAATCTCATTGACTCTGCACTCCTTTAGGACATTGTATCGGTTCGTTGCGCAGGTCTTGATCTTGGCATCCTCTTCGTTGACTTCTTTGAGAACGTGCTTGACCTTTTCGTTGCGCTGGTCCAGGGCCCGTCGCGCCTCCTTGACAGCCGCCGCTCGTTCAGAGAGTTTCTTCTCTAGCTGTTGTCGCTCTTCTTGTAGCTTCTCCAGCTCGGCTTGAAGCACATCGCTGGCCTCTTGCAACTCAGTCCGCTTGCTTTCGAGCTCAGCAATGTCTGCACTCTTGCGCTTGATCTCGTCTTCGGCATTCTTCAGTCGCGCCTCGATGCCTTCGTATGATGACTGGAGTTGTTTCATCATGAATTGGAGTCTGCTTCGCTGCGTGGTAAACTCCAGACGCTCTTCGGCAGCCTTCTGCTGGGCACTTCCTTGTTGCGACTCATAGTCTCGAATCGAATCGTAACCCAGGCGCTGGCAGAATGCTGCAAAAATCTGATCACTGACTTGGTTGACCGCATCTTGATAACGCCGCAGTTCCTCTTCTCGATTCCGCAACCGCTGTGCCTGCTGTTCGTAGTTGGGTCGCACGCCCCTCAGCTCGTTCTTGCGGTGCGCCAGGTCCTTCTTCACACTCTCAATATTGCGAGCCAAAGCTTTGGATTCGTCCTTTGCACGCGCAATCTGGTCCTCGAGGTCTGCAAGTTCCACTTCCAGGTTCAGCTCCTCTTGTTGCCGGTCTGATTTTGGCAGCTCCTTCAACTCTTTTTGGTACCTGTTGACCTGGTCTACCAGAGTTTGGTAAGCTCGCTCATCCCAGGCCTGCTCACTCAAGTCGTCGTCGCGGTCGAGCTCTCCACCCGTCTGCGTTCCCCCTTTGCCAATCACTCGACCGTCCAAGGTGACCGCCTTGGCTTCAACACGCTTCTCGTACCTCAATTCCTTTGCAATCTTTTCAGAATCACATATGATCGTGCTTGCACATGCAGCGCTCATTGCACGCTCGTGCTTGGGATCAAACTTGATGCAATCAATAGCCAGTCGCACGCCCTTGTGTGCACCCTTTAGTTGGGGATCGATAGCCCTGATTTGTATAGAGTCAAGAGGGTTGAACGCCATGATGCCAATTCGTTCTTGTTTGAGATAGTCAATGCACGCCTTGGCAGTTGCTTCTGTGTCGACAATGACCGTCTCCATCTGCGCTCCAAGCACGCGCCCTATGGCTTTGCGATACTTTTGTTGTATTGGCGTGATCAAGTCCTTGTATCGGCCGTGCACCTTTTCCGATCCAAGTCGGGTCTTCAAGCGCTCAACTGTCCTGCGGGCTTCCTGTTGCTTCTTTGACTCACGACGCGAGCCCTCCATGATGTTGAGTGCCTGCAAAGCCGCCTGCAGCAGCTGATTCTTTTCCTCGTATTGCATTCGGATCTGCCTCGTCTCGGCTCTGAGAGTGTCCAACTGTTGCTGCTTCTTGGCTCTGGATTTCTCCAACTCCTTGATGTCAGTCTTTGATTCTTGCTGGCGCAACTCCAGTTGTGTGATTTCCGCACTGAGCTTCTCCACGGCCTTTTCATGGCTCTCGACACTCTGCTGAAGATTGCGAACGTGGTCCCTGTCCGTATCGACTTCACGCTTCAGCCGGTCGATTTGCATCTGATCACTATGCGTTCGCTTGGTGACATCGCTACGCAGCTCGTTGTATTCTTGAATGTCCTGCTCAGAGAGCTCACGGCCTTGACGCTGGGCCGCAGCCTTGAAGTCATCCTCCCACTTCTTCTCGGCCTTGTGCACCTGGTCAATGTTCCTTTGGCATCTCTCGACCTGCTCTTTCTCGGCGTCGCGTTGTTTTCGGAGCGTCTCCATCTTGCTTTCGTACCTTCGGCATGCCTCGTTGGATAGACGAATCTTCTCCTCAATGGGGGCCAGCTCGTTGGAGGCATCTTCAATCTCCTTTTCCTTTTCCTTGATGCTACGATCGGTCTTTGCAAGGTCGCGCTTGACCTTGGCCTCGGCTTGACGCTCTGCTTCGTGCCTCTTGTGGTATTTTTCTACACTGCGCTTGTGTTCCTTGAGCTCCTCTTGGTGGCTGGCAATCTTATTGCGCGCCCTTTCCATCGTCTGTTGGTAGAGGAAGAGCTTCCAGAGGGTCTTGGTGACAACGGCCTCGTCACGCTCGGCCAGCTTCTTCTCGTGCTCGTCGGCCTCTGCCTTTTGCTCCTGATAGGTCTTGAGCTCGCCGTTGATGCCACGGCGCTCATGGAGGTGCTTGGCATTGTCTTCGGTTGCGTCCAAGGACTCGGCCTTTAAGCGCTCGTAGTCGGCTGCGTACTCCAAGCTGCCGGAGATGCGCTCAATCTGCTCAGTCAGCTTCTTGGGGGCCATGGTCGCGATTTTCTCGACGTCGCCCTGAAAGACGAGGAAGTTGCGGGCCTTGACGAGGATGCTATGTTCCTCGAGCGCCTCGTTGTACTGCTTCTGGGTGACTTGACGGCCATTGATGCGGTACTCGCTGGCGCCGGCACGGGTGATGTCGCGCTGCCACTCGTGCGTCTGCTCAGCATCGTCCTCGAAGACGGCCTTGACCCAGGCGGTCTGGGGGTCGTTGCGCTGGGTACTGGCCTGCGACTCGCCATTGTCCTGTGTGCCCCCGTTGGCGTCGCCGTTGGTCGCGCGCTCAATGACCCTGCCGCGGTAGACCATGTCCTTGAGCTTGTCGGAGCGCAGTGTTGCCGACTTGACGCCCAGGACGAAGGAGATGGCGTCCATGCTGTTGGACTTGCCGGCGCCATTGGGGCCGATGATGGAGGTGAAGTACGAGTCGCCGAAGAGGAGGGTGTGCCGGCCGCTATACGACTTGAAGTCTGCGCATGTTGGTTAGCAGGGCCATTGTGATGGTTGCAGAATGGCACCAGGACAAGCAAGCCTTACTGCAGAGCTCTAGGCGCACGAGTTTGCCCATGATGGCGGTGGGATGGCGCGACGACAGGTATTAGCGGGCGCATGCGCAGCGATTGGGAGGGGATGGGGCTCGGAGGTTGTGCAGGTGGAGGGTGAGTGCTGGTAGGGTTGATGATAGGTGTGTGTGTGTGTGTGTGTGTGTGTGTGTGTGTTTTGGCTGGCTGGTTGAGCTGGAGAACGCGCAATCACGAAATGACGCGGGGAAGCAGCGGAGAAAGCTGAAGCTCACGGTGACACGGATTCGTCGCGTCGCGCGTTGGACACATTGGTCTGCAGAGGGCGGAGGGGAGCGGTGAAAGGGCCAGCCGTAGTTAGCGTGGACAGGGGCCAGGCCAGGCATCACGGGTCCACAGTGACGAAAGCCACAGGTGGAAGCCCTCACCTCACCACACCGTCTGTCCGTCTGTCCGTCCGTCTGTCCATCTGTCTGTCTTGTCTGTCTCACTCTGCTCATCTTACTCTATACATCTATACACACCAAAGAGAAAAAACAAAGTCCTCGGTCGCTTGTTTCTTTGGTTCATCACCGCAAGTCTTTTCCTTGCAGTACATATTACCCTCCCTCTCCATCACACACTCTTCTCGTGACTTTCTCCGACAACCGTAGAAACACCCTCTCGGCCTGCACTATGACGCGGTGAGCTTGCCAATCACCAGCTGCCATTCACCCACGAACTTCTTCTTGTCGCCCACAACAACCCTCGCCCACTGCTGGACCACGCAGCCCACCGTCTTTCGGTGTCATGAGAGCAGATAGACAAACAGGGTCTGGTGATTAGATTGTCTCCAGCAGGGGAAACTACCAAGACTACCAAGCCATCACTGTGTACGCCCCTTCTTCATTACTTACATCCACATCTCTCCTCGTGAACCGCCATGGACGGTCGCCAGGATGCCCTCAACCACCACCACGCAGCAGCTAACAGAAACAATGACGACAGGCTCTCCCCAACGCCATACAAAACGAACCCTCCATCGCCGCACGCCCTCTAGCCTCGACATTGTCCACGAAGAGCTGCCCGTCATGGCCTCGCAGCACACGGGCGATGTGCCCAAATCGCACTCAGAGCCATCACTGGCAGTACCTGGCCTCTCTGCTCAGCCACTACCAGGCGACTCTACACAAGCTGGCTCTACACTCCTCGATGACCCCGTCACATCCTCGACCTACCCAACACCGTCCACACCCGGCCTCTCGCGCTCCGCTTCCTTCTCCAACAGCTCCCTCCACGATGAATCCGACTTTGAAGATGCCTCCTTCTTCCCACCGGTGGAGAAGCTGACCATGTTTGATTTTGTCGAGAATCTGGCCCTGTCACAGCGCATCGAGAAGATCCAGAGCTCCATCGCTTCGCAGACCGAGAGGCTCAAGACCCAGGCCAGGAATCGCGGCATCACGCGCGATCGCGTGGTGGAGGAATGGCGTCGTCGTGTCCCTACCGAAGGCGAACAGCTCGAAAAGTACAAGAAGCGCATGCGACACTCGGTCGACCGGTTCAACAGACGATGGAACGAGTCTCTCACAGTAACAGTCCGGGAGAAGGCTTCCTTTATTGCTGCGACCATGAACATCTTCGTCTCTGGATACCTGGTCGGCTCACATCCAGACCTGTTCCCACACTGGTACACTGCCCAGCTACTCTACTTCATGCCCCTTCGCTTCATCACCTACCACAAAAAGGGCTACCACTACTTCCTGGCCGACCTGTGCTATTTTGTCAACATCCTGTTGGTGCTGAGTGTCTGGGTCTTTCCCCAATCCAAGCGTCTGTTCATTGCCACCTACTGCCTCGCCATGGGGAACAACGCCGTCGCCATCATCATGTGGCGGAACTCGCTCGTCTTCCACTCCATGGACAAAGTAGTCAGGTGAGTGCTCCCTACCCTTTGACAATGCCATGCTAATCCTCTAGCCTCTTTATCCACATCATGCCATGTGTAACACTACACTGTCTCACCCACCTGCTCCCATCAGCATATCAAAAACAAAGGTATCCTGCCATTTACGATATTCGTCACTCTGACCCATCCTCGCCTCACCATTATGGCCTTGGCCAGATGATGCTATGGGCTACACTACCCTACGCTCTCTGGCAGTTGGCCTACCACTTCATGATCACCGTCCGTCGTCGTGATAAGATCGCGGCTGGACGACCTACCAGCTTTACCTGGCTGCGCAAATCCTACGCAAAGACCTGGATTGGCAAGATTGTCCTTTCCCTACCAGAGTTCCTTCAGGAGCCTGCCTTTATGTTCATCCAGTACTCGTATGCAGTCCTCACTATGCTCCCCTGCCCGGTCTGGTTCTGGTACCGCTGGCCTTCGGGCATCTTCCTCAGCATAGTCTTCATCTGGAGCGTTTACAATGGCGCAACATACTACATTGATGTCTTTGGCAACAGATTCCAAAAGGAGCTCGAGGCACTCAAGAAGGATATAGCGAAGTGGCAGGCCTCGCCAGAGGGAGGTTTCACGCCTTTTACCCCCAATGAGGCTGGTGTGGAGAAGCAGCTGGGCTATATTCCTCCTCTTGAGGGTAGCTCGAGTGTAAAGCCTGCCGACGGTGAAATCAGAGAGCGCAAATGATACTGTGATTGCACGTATAGAGGGGAATTCATCACGACTATGTTGGGAGGTGCAACGGTTGTTTCATGCTCAGAGCGGCTATTTGTCTTTTTTTTTCTTTTGGCTCTCTCTGGGGTTTTCTTTTATTATTAACAACATTTGCATCGCCAACGTTTCTATCATGTCTAGAACAGATACCCCAAACCCCACACCCTTGCCATCACTTAGTCAATTATAATACCATGTTGCCATTCCATTCAAGATTCCTGCCCCTCTTGCTTTATAGTGTTGAATATTGGATATACCGCTGGTACCGTTGGATCTGGGGAGATGTGCATTAGAGGTACCGCTCAGGGTGTATAGGGCCGCTCGTTTGAATGTGAATGCTAATGTAGATGGGAAGAGTCATGGGATCATACCAAGACCGTAGTGGTGGTGACGAAAGTGAGTATGCCATCGGACCATTGTTGAAAGCAAAGATTTGATAGAAGCAATTACTCGATACACCTTATACCCTCCAACCAACCCCCTTTCCCCCTAAAAACTCATAACCTAAGCATCAACACCACCAATTACAAATACAGAAATACAGCAAACCTAAACCCCCCCCCCTTACACCTCCCTCCTCCCCGCATCCACAGGATACTTGTACACCACCTCATCCCCCTCAATCCCATTCTCATCCCTCCAATGCTGGCGATCCACAACGCCAACCCCAGGCCCACGATACACACTACCATACCAACCACTCGCCCAATCGCTGCCAACACCCTCCCTGGAACGCTTATCCCTCGTCACCCGGCGCCGATACCACTTCCCATACGCAAGCAAATAGTACAAGCGGAAACACAGCAGGGCGAAACGATCGCGCTCCAGGTCCTCGGGGTACTGGGCGCCGAGATCGACGGCGGCAGCAATGCCGCTCATGACGGCGACTTCGTGGGCGTTGAGCAGGGTCCAAGCAGCTGCGAAGCGCGTGTGGCGACGGCCTTGGAGCCACATGATCCAGGGTACGACGAAGGCATAGTGTGTCCAGGAGTGGCAGAGCTGGTGCCACCAGTCGGTGCGAATGATTTTTGAACTGTCGATTTCATCGATGCTCCAGAGGTGGCCGTCGCGTGCTTTGTTGAGGTAGATTGTCTGGAAGACGTGTGCGTCAAAGGGGACCTCGGGTGGGAATTGGGACTGATAGTTTGTGCAGTCAAAGGACATTTCGAGTTTTGTGGCGTCAGCGGCGTACATTTTGATGTAGTACATTGGTTTGAAGTTTTTGGCGGCAAAGGCGAGGCGAGAGGTTTGTGGGGTCGAGGAGAGGGTTTGGGTGGCGAGGCTGGGGGTGTAGAAGTTTTCGTAGTGGCGCTGCATGTAGGCCGAGTCGTGGTGGGTGATGGTGACGTCGTCGGAGAATTTGCAGGTGGAGAGGATGCGGCGCTCGCGGAGGGTGGAGGTTTTCTTGAGCAAGCGGTTTGCGGTGTCGGCGCTGGGGAGAGGGGGATTTGTTAGTGTTGTGTTTGGGAATGAGGAAAGATTGTACGCGTGTGTGTATGAATACGTGGAATAACTTACAGGACGCAGAGGACCAGTTCATCATAGTGTTCTTCCTTCCCCGCGGCGTTCTTATCCGCATTATTCTCGTCGTCGTAGGGAACCCAGGCTGAATTGGGATTATGTCCATCCTTGACTGGCGTCCGCTTGATGAGCTTGACAACCACACCCTTTTTGTCCCTGCTGACCACCTCTGTGATTTCCGTGCTCAATCTCACATTGACCCCCCTCTTCACCAGATCCCGCCTCCACGTCTCGTAGAATTCGCTGAATCGCGGGAACACGACCATGGGTGGCATATTGCTCACAATGCTCTTCTTGTCCGGCGGATACCACATGCCATACGTCGGGCTTGTGCAAAGTCGCTCGAGGATAATGGATGGCACATTGGGCGTCTCGTTGCCTGTACCCAGGAACAAAGCAATCATGGGCATGGCTACCGTGTTTGTGAACTCATCGCTGAAGAAGAAGAGTTTGAAGAGGATTTTGATGGGTATCAGGGCGAAGAAGAGTTCGAACCAGCGCACGACTTTGAGCATGAAGTTGAACTTGCGGATTTCTTTTTGGTGCCGGGCAAGGATTTCGGTGGGAAAGACGTTTGTCCAGAAGGTGGTGTCTTTGCCGAAAGAGACCTGGGTTTTGTGCGTCAAAATTCTTCCTGTTCTTCTTCTTTCAGGGAAGATTCATCATGATGTCCAAGATTGGACGCAATTCCAACGTACCTGCAAATCCACAGGATCAGCATGATGACCCTGTCTCGCAAACATTGTCAACGTGTGATGGAAGATATAACTTCCACCCTGAACACCCTGATTCAGCCAACTCGCCCCATGCCGCTCCTTGTCAATATCGATAGAAAACGCCTGTCCGCCGCAGTAATCAACCGCATCGATGAGCGTGACATCGAACTTATCAGGGTGTTCGGAGAGGTGATGGGCGCAGGACATGCCTGGTAGGGTTCGGAGTTAGTATTATCTTGTTTGCTCGCGTCGTTGTTGGGATATACCCAGCACCAGCGCCAGAATGCCAACTCCTGTAGAAAACTACCACTTGGTGACCATTATACAAATATACAAACGTCGGAAATTCGACTGGCATAATAGAATATGAACGTACCTGCAGCACCCGCCCCAACCACAAGGACCCTCTTCTTGCCCTCTCTCATCCCTCCAGCCATTTTCCTCGTCGTATCCGCAACGTCAACGGTTGTCACTGGCAGAATCGGCTGTGTCTCTGTCCCAGTCTCACTAGCAGCACTGCGCATTTATCAATTGCTCAAGGCCTCAGTCCTCAGATACGTTCCAGTAAAAAAACAATGCTGGACAAAAAAGCGCCCAGAAAGAGGAGATTTCAGATAACATCTTTAAGTTTTTATCCACCTGGACTCAAACAACGAACGACCGCGGCTGGCGCTGACGTTATGCGGTCATGGAGTTGCTGGGAGCGGTTTAGTTGCCGCTGGGATGGCGGGCGTGGGGCTTGGGGTGATCGGGCGGCGCGATCTCGCTAATCGGGGGGAGTGGAGCAGTAAGGGGGGAGGAGGATTGTGACGTCATGGATTCTGGGGGGAGAGCGAGGGGGTGTAGGTGTGAGGGGGGTGAAAGGACGGTCGGATTAGTACAGTGGTGGATGATGATGGCGATTGGACTTTGTATAAAAATGTTTGGAGTAGTATTTGCTTAGGAGGAGTGGGTGGACTGCAAGTGATGAACACGCTGTGCAGTCACGTGATACCCAGTTTTGTGGTGTACCTGAGCGTATCTGAATGCTAGAGCATACCGACATGGCATATGCAAGTCCCAACTCGCGCGGGATCGTCTTCGAAAATCCTCGTTTGACAGGCCGTATCAGCGCGGTAGGACCTTAGTAGCATGCATTCCTCGCAATGCCTTTGCCGTCCAATCGTCCACCTCGCCCGCCATGGGATGCGTCTCAAAGTACACATACGGCTGTCCACTGCTCGCAGGCCGACTCCCCATTGCTGACGATGGCACAGATCTCGTCGCCGGAGGCAAGTTGAAAAAATCGGTGCCGAGATTAGTCGTCGCGTTTGCGAACCAGTCTTCCTGGACATCTGACATCTCTGCAGGATCGTTCATCGCCGCGCCGATTGCTGACACGACTGGAGATGAGTGCTGTGGCGTTTGTAGTGATATTTCGGGGTCCTCGTCGGTCACACCTGTGATGCTAGCGAATTGAATGGCGATCTGGCTGAGGATCTTATATGTCGGGGCTGGCTTCCTCATTCCTTTGACGTAACCAAGCACCGCGCGTACCGTCTCCTTGCGCTCTGCATCTTTTGCAGAATCAAATTGTTGTTTAGGCCGTGCGAGAAAGTCCGCACATACAATCAAGACGGAATAGAAGACGAAGAAGAGGTCCAGCCACGAGTAGCCCATCATCCCAAGGTGTGCACCGGCCATGATGCAGTTGAGACTTTGATGTGCAGAATCCACGCAATCTTCACTCATCATAAGAGTACGTTGCCATTCTTCGATGGGCGGGGGAGCTCTGGACTCGAGATAGCATATATTTCGTTCGACCTTTTGGATGAGAAAGCCGCGGGAGACGATGCAGCGCGTGTAGAAGTAGTAGATGTGTAGCAGCAAGATTCGGGCTCGCTGATCAGGTGGTCCTGGTCCAAATGCCAGCGTCAAGGGCGTGGGTATGGATGCAAAAACGGCGTCGCATTCGTGGAGAAGTCGTTCAGCCACACCCAGCGATGGTGAGCGTTCTTCGGCTGACACGCCGTCGAAATACGCTCGCTGCCGAATGCTGTAGGACATTCGGATCAGTCTGAACATCGTGGTCATGAACTCGGCAGACATGGTATTTTGCTCCAACATGGGTGCATCGGGGACTTGCATTGCTAGTTCGCTGTCGTCGATGACCGTTGGGCGGCCCATGATGCTACACATGATCTTCTCAAATGTATATATCGACCAGAAGACTTGGCGACGTGTATTTCGTTCAATTGAGTCATAATCCAGGTTCGGGCCATCTCGATGCAGTCCCATAGTAATAGCCTTTCTGTTGTGTTAGCTTCTCGGTCAATCCTACTGAATATGCAAACTACTCTTACCATCCGAGCAGCAAGTCCAATAAGCAACCAACTACTGCTCTTCTGGCCCATGGTATGGTAATGCATGTTCAGCAACACGAGTGCCTGCACGTTGACCAGGGACGTATTCAATAACAGCTGTCGAAGGTAGCCCTTGGCAAAGCCCACATACTTTAGCCTCAGCTTATAGGCTTGCTCTGGATCATGTTCCTGTAATTGCTCGCATCCAAAAGAAAACACCAGTGCTAGTGCTACTAGCCATCCAATGTCCGCACAGTCCTTGAGCCGCTCAGTTTTCCGTGAGTAGGTGGCTTCGAGGCGGAATTGAAACATGCTCCGGTGGAATAAGGGGAGATAGACGTGTATGTGGTCAAAGTAGGCACCCACCAGTGCATCTGCGAGGGAGCGAGAGGGTAGCAAATCACCGATAATGTCAGGGTTTGGACTGCCCTCTCGATGTTCCCATTGATGGCCTGTCTGTTCCATCTGGGTACGTGAGCGCTTACGGCCACTGCGGTCTTGGTTGGACTCGTCCCGGAGAGTGCATAGATACTTTTCGTCTGATGGAATTATGTTGCTACGATGGGTTAAACGTTCTGGTCCGCATTGTGGGTCGAATTGGGCCGGAAATGATGCTGGAAATTGAGGTAGGGATACACCAGTGATGACTCTGTAGCGGACAACCAGCATTCGGATAGTCGTAGCAAGGCGAAAACTACTCGATGGTCCAAAATAGTGGTAGACACCATCTCGAGTTGGTAGCAGGTCCTCTGTATATCGCGTTGGTTTTTGGGATTCAGAAGAGGACCTAGTGTGAGGGCCTCTTGAAAATAATGCAGTTGAAGTGTTGACATGATGCACAGCCTCCCTGGCACTGTGTGAGGCCGAATTCTGCGGTTGGACTCCTTTTGAACTCGTGCTTGGACGTGAGTGTTGGTCATCCTGCAATGGCGCTTGTGGTTGTTGATTTTCGCCATTACTGAATATATCTGCTGGTGTGTAATCGTCCGGTGCAGGCATCTGAATGTGCCTCGCCGCCGCAATCTTGAATAGGACATGCACATTCTGTGTATTTTCCTGCGGGAAGAGGCCCTTGACCAATGACTCGAGGGCTCTGTATCGCAGGCTCAACGTCTCTACACTTCCATACACCCTCTGTTTGCGGGGAAGCTTCGATTCACACTGTACTCCACTGGCCTTGCAATCTGCACATGGCTCCTCTGGATGTTCGCGCATACATCTGGCGCGTCGAAGTTTGCAACGATCACAACTTACGAGTGCGCGTTTGCGCGGCGCGGCCGCTGCGGCATTGTCTGACTTCTCACGCCGCTCAGTGTTCATGCCTGCTGTACATGGAAGGCTGGTCGGCCGGATGAGCCGTTCCGGTGAGGTTTGAGTTCGGCGGATGCGCTTGTTGCTTGTAGAGGCTTACCGGTATGCCCAAGGCAACGGAGGTTGGCAGGGAGCGGGCCTTCTAAGTTATCCGTGGACTCCCCTGCCCTCGGCCGTCTCGGCATGTCATTCTTGTTACTGAATACAGCCAGCGGAGCTTGCTCCGTCCAACCCAGTGAAGAGAGACGCCAGACACCTGTGCATCGCCATCATCATTTTCCACACCCTCAACAGCCACAGCGCTAGACATGCTTTCCAGTCCATCCCTGAATATTGATGTATACTGTCAGGTAGACACACGTATCCAACTTGTATCCTCTTCCTTGTGCAAATTGCCCAAAGGATATAGGTAGACCTTGAATTTCCATGAGATTCCCGCGATGCATCGTCCAGAGCTGCCTTGTAATGACCACACTATCAACACGAAGTTGTGGTGAGACATGAAAACACACCAAATAGACCAGATTCTATCCACAACGACTAACTTGTACCTGTAATAGGGAAGCGTCTGCTGCCCCTCCTGTTCCTCGTCCCTTTCCTCAGGCACTTGCAACTGCACTGTGTCTTCTGTCCCAAAGCCTGACAGCGGATTCTGCTCATTAAAACAAGAAAGGAATACTCCAGGAAATCCAGAAGGCAGAGCAAAGCCGTCTAGTATATCGAGATCATAATTCATAAACGTGTCAAGTCAAGGACCACCAGAGGGTGAAGTGAACGAGCCATCTTCTCAGAAAGGGAACGGGTTCACCGGGTTCAATGTCGGTGTTGAAGGGCACCTTGCGCACTTTCCTTGACATGGAGACGTCCATCCTCCTGCAAAGGATCAAAAATGTCCTGGCCGTTTGGTTAGCTTAAAGATCTCGGGCCTGCATTATGTATATGGTGTGGGCACGCGCTGAGTCAAGTACAAGCACTGAGGACTCACAAGGTTCGTAGTAGCGATCATCTTCTTAAGTAAGTCGAAGGCGATCAAGTATGCGCGCCTTGCAACATCATTAGACACTCCAGTCGCTCGCAGCCATCGTATGAGCTCCTTGAGCAGTGGCACGATTTCCTGCCGGTCTTCGGGAAAATGCCTGCCCCTCAAAAGCGTTTCCAGAAGTAAAACGGCAATGGTTTGCATGGTATTGTCTACCATACTCCAATTACGAAGGGTTCTTGAGACCTAATGTGTTTGCACGTGAATAGTAGATAAGTCTACTCAAGAAGGCACTCCAGTCAGTTTCGCGTGAGTATGAAGCGTTAGAGAAATACCCACTGGCCTCTGTCATCTGCATGCTATTCGGCAGTAATGAGATATGAGCAGACGGTACCTATAGCGAAGACTAAATTGATGGTGGCTAGCCATAATTTCCGTGGATGGTAAAGGCTGCCTAGGTTTGATTAGCAGATTTCTGTGGTGACCCTGGCTTAATTGTATGTACCCAGTTGAGAGGCTGCGTAATCTAGGATTTCATAACGGGCCATTTTCAGTTCGTACCCAGCATCATAGTTTAGGTAAATGATATTCTCTTGAGATCCCATGTCTTTAGGGTGGTGTCAAACTCACAGCGATAAAATTTCCCCACGAGGACTTTCTTCGCAGGAAATGGAAATGAATGATGACAACTCTCCACGAATGCCTTGACAAGTCTCTCGGCGGTCTGGGAACGAAGGCATTCCCATTGAGTCAGCCCTGAATTCTATCTCCAAAGGCTGCCCGTTCAGGTAGTAGTTGGCCTTGCTTGTATGCATCAAAGGCACCAGATTCGCCCTTTGATAATGTCTCAGCGCGACCAGTCGCTCAGCAGCCGACTTCCCATCTTGCCCTGGGGGTCCGTACCAGCCGTCATTTTTGTCGTTCCCGCCGTCTGTGTGCAGTTTTCGAAGCCATGGAATTTCGAGAGGTTTTCCAACGAACTATGGCAGCGGAATCAGTGACAGAATCTCCCAAAACACGACAAACATGGTATAGCCTTACACCTATGGCAAGTGTCTGTTCATGGAGCATCAAATGTTCATCGACCAGATCCAAATCGCCCGAACTTCCAACTTGTGCGCAGATGTTCGCCTTTGCTGCGTCTTCCCTATTTTCTGCCTTATAAGGTTTGTTTGGTGAGCGTTGCAAATCTGAAGCAGCATCCGCCACATCGGCAGTGATTTATACAGCATTAGATCCTCTTTTTCAGGAATCGGCTGACGGACTACCTTTTGAAAGAAGGTCGTCAAACCTGGCTTGTTCTTCGTCCATTACTTGGATCCGTAAATCTCGAAGAAGGACAATCATATCCAGGCTGTGAGTAGTGGCTCTGAGATTCGTTCAATGATGGGAACTCCTCTGTGATTGAAGGACTGACATCCTGAGCCGATCTTTTCGACTCGAGGTATAGACGCAGGGTGTGGCATTGTCACGACAACTCAGGCATCGCGGGACTCCACTATCGCACTAGAAAGCGGCGGTGCAGAGTCAGTGCATATGGTTGATGCAAACATTTGCATCGATATCTCACTTTGGCTTGAATGGTCACCTTTGAGGTTGAAGCCTCTCAAGGTTCTGAAACAGCCGCAAATGACATGTGAGTTCGGGAGATTTGGATTTGTGAGGAGAGGTGTGCAGACGACGCGTCACAATAGACAGTGTCATCCTGCACGAAGGATCAGGAATAAAGAAGGTGTGGCAAGCCTAAACAGTACATTCGGCTGTAGGAACTGGGCCAAACAGAGTAGAGCTCCCAGTAGGCTCTGGCTGCCAACACAGGCAGGGGGATATGCGACCAAAGTTGTAAAAAAGCTCTCTTCAAGGCGAATCATGGACTGCCGGCCTCAGGGAAGTGCACTTTGAGAAAGCGATTTCAGTTTTAGAAGCAGTGATGTGCCGAGTAGCATTCAGGCCGATACTCGATTGTCAGGTCTGCGAATGAAGTTCGGTTCTGGAAATATATTGCTCGTATGTCGGGAGGCTTGCGCGATTGTTGGGTTTGACAGCCCGATGCCACCATACCGGTAGTTCACAGTTTGGTGTAGTCAATCCATGTATTTGATTGGTTCGGTGAGGTGTGCCATGTAAGATTTCGTCGTTCTCCACATCATAAGGTAAACTGTGCTCGTGCAGGATCAGATTGCGAAGAATTCGAGCCACCAAAATAAGAGGGGAAGAACAAACGGACCTCGGACGGATAGCCCATTGTGATGGTAGTAATCGTAGGGCACAAGTTGTGCCGGTCGCAAGTCGTCTGTGGCCACTCGGAGAAGAAGCAAGGAAAGAATGGGTGTCAAATTGCTCTTTGAGAAGACTATGGCAGTCGTAATCGGCCGGATTTGGTTGACGACCGAGGCAGAAGGGGTTCTGGTCCAGCACCGACTGTAGTCGTCGTTTTTGAGCACTTTACCATGGTAGAATATGTAGTGAGAGGAATGATCACGTGATGTTTCCGATAAACCAGTCTGAGCTACCCCTCCATCCCCTTGCAACCACCAAAGTCCCCCTCCACAACATCTTCACCGTCACAATGTCAACATGGCCGACAAGAATGCACAACAGGCCGAGAGCTATTACTTCACCCACGAGCCGCCTCCAAAGGACCTGAAGACCAACACCACGCTCGCTCGTGAGTTCATTACGCGTCATGCTGACGAGGGCCGGCGCGTTGTGCTTGTAACCTCGGGCGGCACCACTGTACCCTTGGAAACCCAGACAGTCCGCTACATTGATAACTTTTCCGCTGGCACGCGTGGAGCTACAAGCGCCGAGTATTTCCTCGAGAATGGCTATGCAGTCATTTTTTTGCACCGCCAGTTTTCGCTTCTGCCGTTTTCGCGGCACTATTCGCACAACACACGTTCTTTTCTTGATTACATGAAGGAAGAGAATGGCCAGGTTGTTGTCGACGAGCAGCACCAAGATATGATGTTGCGCGTGTTGCGTCAGTACACCAATGTCAAGCGCGAGAACAGGCTTTTGATTCTGTCCTACGTTACCATCACCGAATACCTGTGGAATCTGCGTGAGGTTGCCCAGCTCATGCGCCCTCTGGGGCCAAAAGCCATGTTCTACCTTGCTGCTGCCGTTTCCGACTTCTTCGTACCTCAGGATCGCATGGTCGAACACAAGATTCAGTCCAACGAGGAGTTCTTGCAGTCTGGGCACAATCCAGATGGAGATGTCAATGCGAAGCAACCAGCCGCGCGGACAGAAGGCAGGAGTCTGATCATCGACCTCGAGCCCGTGCCTAAATTTCTTAAGCAGTTGGTGGACGGTTGGGCCCCAGAAGCCATGATCGTCAGCTTCAAGTTAGAGACTGATCCCTCCTTACTGGTCAAAAAGGCCGAGTATGCGTTGAACAAATATTCGCATCACCTCGTTATCGGTAATTTGCTATTAACTCGAAAGTGGGAGGTAGTGTTCGTATCTGCACTTGAGGGCGAGAAGTGGATACGAGTCCCGCGCACTCGTAGAACGAAGAGCTTCTCCGGCCTGCCTTCGCTCGTGGGCGCCGCTGATGCAGCACGCAAAGATGAAATAGAAGCCGATGAATCCATTGCTACAGAGCAAGGTGTACCACAGGGCGAGCCGGCGGTAGAGATTGAGTCCCTGATCATCCCAGAAATCGAATCGATGCATACCAAACTCATTGGCATAGCTCAAGCGAGAGCAGGGAGTTCGTAACATCCATACCATACATACGAGCGCTTCAATATCATTGCCAAGCTATATATCTTTGTCTTTTGGGTGCAAGAGGTACAAATGCTAAACACAGTCTCAGCTATATGACCGACGCCTCGGCGTTGTTGGAACATAGTGCATCTTGACCCACCGACCAGGTCTGAAGAGGAAGTCGAACAGCATTCTATAGAAAAGGGTACCAGTTATCTGTACAATGTTGGAGAGGAAACTACCCAAGCACCTGGTTGCACACCAGGACCTTTGCCACGGTGGTTTGTTTCTTGCAGAACAGGAAATCAGCACATGCTCCAGTGACACGAAAATGAAGATTAGAACGAAACCAGACAGATAAGGGTGGATCGATAGTGCATCGACAGTGTTGTCGTACTTGGCCATCGCGGATGCCCTGACTGCATCATCATTTGGTACTAGGCTGGTTGACTCAAGTACAGCATGGAAAGCGCACCGTACTGATGTCACACGCATGAAGGACACTACAAATGTGAAATTCCGATGGAGGAAACAGTGTAGAACGAACGATGTACGCTTGTTCTTCTCCCTCGGTCATTGATACACATTGCTTCTGCTATGATTTCACCGTCGCAGTCGATTTGCGCCCAAGCTCACGACTGCAGCAGGCGTTGCGGGGCCGAACGATGCCACAGGATACTACTTCTTATCCAGGCAGTGAACATGATGTGAAAGGTCCGACTTCGATGGCGCAAAGTTTACATGGTGATGAATCCTCAGAGAGGAAAGGTTACGGTAGTGGGAGATGATCATTCGGGCCGCGCCGTCTACCGGTATCCGGAAGATCAAAAGCTTCCCTTCCCCCCCGAGACTTCACAGTATACACTGGGCATTGCCTACCAATGGTGAATGCAGTTTGGGTGACATACTCAATAGAACTCATTATGCTGTTGCCTTTGCCGGATGGGTATCCCCCTTTTTCCCCAGCGGTCTTGTCTCGTCAGCTGCAGCTGAACCGTCAACGGCCGAAATGACAGAGCTGAAGGAGCTGCAGTGTCTGCGTCTTGATTTTGGGCTTAGTTTTCTCAACATTGCATATATCACCTTTTAACTTTGTTGAGTTATATACGCATTCATTGGCGATCGCCGCTGTCACTTTTTTGTACCGACAGTCGGTGGAGCCGCCCCGCTAAATAACGTTGGTTATTACATGCCAATTTATAATAGGGACGTCTTTGACTCTGCCTATGCCGACTTCCAACCTCAGATCACTATATCAAGGCTTTACTCCGTAGCTTCAGGAAACGTGATACATATCTTACAGCCGTACGTCAGCAGCTGTAGCGATACACTCATCTTGAAGCATGGCTGCAGCGGCGTCTCGCTCGTGACCAGTGGCCGAGACTCGAGCAGGCAAAACAATGAAGAGCGCTGAGCTCTGGTCCCGAAATGCAACATCGGGAGCGGATCCGACAGGGATTGTTGACAAGGGCGGGTATGTGAATGTTTTTTCTTCTTGAGTCGTTACGTTCTACATGCAAGGGTACCGGTACATACGAACCATGAGCTGACAAGGCCAGGACGAGTTGCGATTCCTGATGTCCTGTCGCCGCGATTACTCGACCCTCATCTACGTCACGTCCTGCTCATTCTATTTTCCGGCACAGATACATACTGTGGATGCGCGTGGACTGTGCTGATAGTCTCGAAACACAGCTTTATTTTGCTGCCAATATAATTGTCTTTGCGTTAAGCGACGAGTTCGGCTGGGGTGAATAGCAAGTTACATTCTTAATCTGCTGTGCGACCGAGACTACCCCATGTCAACACCCTCACATTCGCTCTCACGGCCGCACAAATGAGCCTGCACCACAACGGCCCTCCGCTAGCTGCAGTCAGCGGATGCACTGCACTTGTTCCGTCCCGCAACCATGATCGTCGCGCTGCTTCAACTGCTGCTGCTAAGCCAGCTGCATGACCAGGCATATTTTCGTTTGTTTGAGAGCGGTTGCCCGACAGAACGCCATCGACCAGGTGGCATGGGGACAAGTAGGCCTTCCCTTGCTTCTCATCTTCTCGCCTATGCTCCGCTGCCAAATCGAGGCCACATATGACGCCTTTGCGCCGCGTTGTGTAGCAGCCATTGGACAGGGCACTCAGCTTAGACCGCATCAAGCAGCCATCTACCTACCGAGATCTCGCTGCCGCTGCAGCTCATCGAAGAAGATCAATACAGCGCTGCGCTGTAGGATCCGGGGGACCGGTTCACGTAACGTCTTTCACCCCCTTGACCCTGGCATGCCCAGATATCGCTCCTTACCCCAGCCACCGCCCGAGTTTGGCTTGTCCTGGCCCGACCAGTTACTTGATAAACAATGTGTCTTACCCCTTGGGTCCGGTGCTCTGGCCTTGTGCTTGTATATATCGTGGGCAGCGCCGAGAGTGTTATCAACATTTATCGCTCTCTAAATCGACCCAGGATCTTCCTTCCCCCACTTGTGGTAATCGTCATCATTACCCTTCCAAGACTTGTGACCCTCTGGTAATCTTACCTGCTATCGATACTAGATCACCAACATTCCTCGGATGGCGACCACAACGGCCATGTTTGCCCCGCATCAGTCTTCTCCCCTGGCAAGGACAACATCACCGTTCAGAGACCCTCGACCACCGCCATGTACGCCGGCAAAAACGGCCAAACTGTGGGATGAATACGAGAAACGGGCAGTGGAGAATGCGAAAAAAAGGGACAGGTCTTCCAAGGAATCGCAGTCGCAACGTTCTTTGGCATCCGAGAGTGGGGGACTCGACACGAAGGTGACGCTCCCAACAACAGCTAGATCGAGCTTCGACTTCAAGTTTAGGAGGGGGCACGTCGCAACACCATCAACCACAGTCTCGACCTGTAAGACCTGTAGGCAGGCTATCACATACGCCTCTGGTATATGTGAGCGTTGCCAGCGGACCATCATCATCGCGTCGCCAAGCGGCGAAATAACACCCCCCACCAGCCCAACTGCTTGTACATTCTCATCAACAGATGAACATCAGTCTCGCAAGCCGTCAATGGAAGGAATCATCATGCTTGCACCCATCTCACCACCTCAAAAATCTTTCTGCCGCCTCCCTCCACAGGGCGTCGATCCACCTATCCGACTTGACTCCCTACGACCACCGCCCCCAGCAAGTGGCATAGCGGACCCAGCCCGATCTCGAAAAGTCTCCTTGACAGATCCTAACGAGCCCTTTCTCCGCCTACAAGTTACAGGGCAACAGACATATCAGCCTCGCACACATTCTCAGTCCCACCCAACATCACCAACATTCGTACCCACTACCCCACCTTCAACCTCGCACTCGCGTTCCTCGACAAGGCCGTCTAGCCTTGCCAACATTGCATCGCTCCCCACATCAGCTTACTCATACACCCGCAACAACAGTGTCACAGCCTCTGAACTCAGCACGCTTTTCCCATACACCTCAGCCAACACAACATCACCACCCAGTCTGTGTCGGTCCAGCTACGCCTTGCAAAACACAACTTCTGCATGGGATGACTGGGACAGTGACTCTGAAGGCGAAAAAGTACGGTTAGTAGGGTGGATAGGTCGGAGGAAAGCAAAGGGGAAAAGCAGCGACAAGGAAAGCAAAGGTAGCATGGATTCTTTCGGCAGTGATGGCGACCTATTCTACCGAGACAAAAAGTCAAGAGAAAGCAAGGAAGAGGATAAGTTAGAAAGAGCTCGGCTCGAAGCAGCAGAAAATGCGCGTGCGAGTAGGCTATTGCGGGATAGTCAGACGCGCGAGCAAAGTGTGAAGAAGAAGAGAAGACCGAGTGGTTTTGTGAGGGCACTTAGTTGTGGGTGCCGTGAGGCATGATCGTGTCTGCTCATTCAGGGGTGGGTTCGATCTTTAGCGCATTTAGCATGATGGTATTGAGAGCGTTTATGGTTGTGATAGTTTGGCGTTTGGAAAAGCTTCTTGTGTGGTATCCGAGAGACATTGGTATGATAATATGTATTATGGGTTATAGCGTCAGCGGGAACGAAATTTCAAAAGCGCCATGAGGTTTACAACGCTATAGCGTTAACAACTCTACTACCAAGAACATCACCACTATTCCATCACTATTATAAGACATGACTCGTCTGGCCATTCACTTATTTCCCTACTAAACTTCATCACTAAAGCACTATACAATAATGCCAGCATCATAGCACTCCCCCGTAGTGAACCGCGTACCAATACAAACAATTCATCTCCATTCTAGCCCGCTGGAAGCGACACCGAAGAATCGGCGAGTCT